TAGCAGCCCTCTGCGGCTCCCTCCGGCGAGCCTCCTACAACCGTGGTCTCCTCCGCTCTGGTACTAGCCCTAACCCTAATCTTTTCTCGTCTTTAAAAATAAGAAAAAAAAAGGATTTTCTTTCCATGTAATTTCTTTTCGTTTCTTTTTTTTGAAGCGATTCAGCTGTGTAAAGAGTCTATCAAAGGGATGGAGATCGAGTATATCGATATCTCCCCCCTCCCTTTCCTGAACACTGATCTCGAGGTTGATGGAGGGTTTCCTGAGCCTGTGGAGGAGTTTAGAAAGAAGATTCTTGAAGCTGATAGTGTTCTCTTTGCTTCTCCCGAGTACAATTACTCCATGACTGGTGAGTTTAGCAACAATCCGATATTGTTGTTTTTTTAGTATAATAATTAGGATAAATTTCACTAAACCCCACTAAGTTTGGGCCATAATTAACTCTCGCTAGTCGCTCCCCAATACTTTGGGAATTCGAGAAAACACCCAAAGTGTTTTAATTTTTTTCTATGAATAGCATCAGCCTATATTTTGAGTTCCCAGACACAGAATATCATATCACATAAACATCAGGTTAAATTCTCGGGAGAGTTCATGGAATTTTCAGAGTTGTTGTGGGTTTAGTGAGAGTTTAAAATTATTTGGGTTAGGTGTCAAACACGCAAAGTTTTCGGGCTTTTAGTGAAATTTACCTGCTCATATGATGTTTTTTTTTTTGAGAAATAGGCTCCAAATTGACTTGATAATCAGGAAAGATTGGAGAAGATATACTAAGTTTGAGGCCTTTCTGATTTCGAGAAGGTTAGGGAATTGAAAATTTTGTCACTTAATTCTCAAAATAGTTGGGAGTTGGTTTAGTGAATGGAAATTTACTTTCATCTTCAACTAAATAACACCCATGTCTTATGAGTACTGACATCAATAGAAACCAACATTGATCTCGGCACTTCCTAAAGACTTTACACTGTTTTAGTCCCACATTAATGCAACGAGGAGTCAATTTGAGTTTATTAGACTTGGATTCATTTGCTCTAACAGTCAACTTTCAGTGGTGAGTTCTCGTAGACCTCTGACAAATGTTATCTAGATTTAGTGCAAAGCTAGCAAGCATGGTGGTATATTGGGATCACTTAAGTCCCATCTCACTAAACGAGGATCTGGATTTTTTACCCCTCTCCAACTAGGGATGCATTCGGTCCGGATACGGCTCGGATATGATGCAACCATATCCATATCCGCTTACCCCTCTCGGATACGGATACGGATGCAGATATACCTCAGTAAGAAAAATTCATATTCATATCCGCTAAAATCAGATACGGTTACGGATATACATGCTGATATATAAGCGGATGTGCATGCGGATACACAACGGATATGAGAAAACTAGATAGTATTGAGAAAAATGTAGTTTATGTGATACAAAAAGAGTTCGTTAATATGTTCATTATAACTAAAAAGTTAAGATTAGACATCTTGATCATCAAAATTAACCATAAATCCATAATCTAAGAATCGAAACTATCTTAAGAGTATGCCTAATATGTATTCGGATATTTCGGATACGGATACAGATATTTTACTACAAAACCATATCCGTAACTAAATCCTATCGGTTATAGATTTGAGTAAGCATATCCGTATCCTAACGGATATGGTTACAGATATTTCCTCGGATACGGATACGGTTTAGCACCCCTACCTCCAACACCTAGCTTTTGTACCTAGGTCTCTAACATATGTCCCATTGTTTTGAAGCAATATGAGCATTGAGCACCCTACAATAATAGTGGCTTGGTGATAGATGTTGATCCAAGAGGTTCTTATATGTTGAAAGTACTTTATCCCTAGAATCCTTAATCATTAGGTCTTAAACCCAAATCAACAAGAACTGTTAATATTACTCGCTCTCTCAAGTGATGGTAACTTGTTGTCGGTGTATCCTTATTGTCAACTTGGTACTTTTTTCAGTAGATGAAAGGGGGGAAACCCCGCCTTGACTCGTATCCGGGAAGTCTGAACACTTCAATATACTAGTATGGCCTTGCATTTACTTTCTCTGACAACTTAACTCTATAATTCTTTATATGTGTATATTCATGCAAAGTATATTTAGAGATGCGTGCTAAGACAGTGAGTATTCAAGGATATTTTTCCAGAGAAACCTATGAAGAAACGCTTTGGACGCCTTTCTACAATGTAGTCGAGGCTTAGGCTCAGACCCCCAAACATATTCTGGAGTTAATGATTAAGACTAAACTTCTCTATAGTATTTTGGCATGCTCCAAGCAACAGGGCTATAAGTTCTTCATGCACAAGTGTTCTACTCCACACAATCTTACATGGCATTATGAACGTAAGCATGGACATGGGTGTCATTGTTGGGGTGCCCTAGAATGTCTGACATGTACATATGTATGTATTCAGTAGCTATCAACTCAAAAGTTTTGGTCAGTTGAAGAAACTAGGCGTGTATCTTCTATCTAATATAATATTATTATTGCAGTTTTGTTAAAACCTCCTCGATCATCCACGTTAAAATTGCTTCAAGCTTGACATGTCCTTTGATCATTGCTATAATTTAATGGACCACTTAGAGGATTAACTTGTAAAGACACGACATTGACTTAAAGATGCTCTAACTGTATGCCACAGATCCAAATTTTTAATCTTTGTCCTTCACTTTTTACTGTACTTCTTAGTATGGGCTTAATCTACTCCTTATACTAGTGCGTAAAGATTACCCCCTCATGTGTAAGCAAGGTCAATATCCTCCACTGCCGTTCTTTTGGCGAAGGGCAATTCTATGTAATTTTGTGAATTGCAAAATTGCTTATGCATTGCATATTGTGGATATGATTAAGATTTATTTATAACCTTTGATTTGTTAGTCTATGAGCAAGAGACCTTAACTCTGATAAGGTTAGGTTTGCACAAGCAACCCTCCATATCTTGCCCAAGCCAACTTGATCTTAGCCATTGTGATTTATCAGTCAGCTTAGTATGCGCGACTAAGCCAATATAAGATATAATCTATGCAATTTGGATTCATATTCTGGTGTGGTTGGTTCAAACCTGCCCTCTTCGGTTTAAAGAACTACAGCCTCAATACGAAGCTAATCAGCTTAATCTAATTCTTGTTATTGTGAAGACTTTTAAACAAAGGCAAGCATTGTCACATGTAAAAAGTTTTTAACTTAAACTCACTCAACTTAAGCTGAATATGTACTGCCAGTCTGAAACTATGAACTCGTGATTGAATCTAGCATTCTGTCTGGAGCTCCAAAACAAGCGCCACTCCAATACAAGCGCCACTCCAATACAAGCGCTTATACTCAGTCATGGATGTCCAAATGAGTGAAGTTCATATTGGTGCGCAAGTGACCCACTTAATTGATTTTGGACATGTAACTACACTTGGGTGCTTCAAGTATAGGATCTTTACACGTATTTAGGAACAATGTAAAGCCTATTGTGGATCTGTTACTGGCTAATTTGAGATCATCGATCAAATTAATCATGATTAAAGACTTATAATAAAGAAAATTACAGCATATAGAATCCTATTTTCTGATGTGATAAATTGCTTTTTTGGAAACTGCTGACAAACAGGCAACTTTGAAGTTTCTTTGGCATTCTGAATGTTTTAAATTAAGATGGGTGGATTAGGTTTGAGTTCTAATGTTGCATGGAAGAATACGTGTTTTGTCCTATCTAGACCATGGTCAACTGTACTAAAGCAAAAACAAACCCCATTCTTCTATAATTTCTCCCTCCCTCCCTCCCTCTGATACGGGTGTATCTTCTCAGTTGAACTTAGTGATCCTCGTGGGAGCTTGAGGATAGATGATTCTCATGGTAGCTTGAGAATAGAAGTGTGGATGGAGTCGCGGATGACGGCGGGAACAGTCAAAATCAGGAAAACGGCGAAAATCAGGAAACTGGTGAAAAGGCTCTGGCCGGTCAACCGAACGACCGGCACCGGTCGACCGGATTCGTGCACACTACTGGGTCGAAAAATAAGTTCTGTGGTCGGTCGACCGATGCACTCTTATCGGACGATCGATAGAGGATGACCGGTTGACCGATAGTGGTACATCGGTCGATCGGATCGGGTTTCCTGGGCCGATATGGATTCTGTTTTGACGCGAATCCTGGTTGTGTTTGTATTGGTTATTTATCACTTTGTCACCCACGTTTTTTGACATATAAATAGGGATTGTTTAGGGTTTCTAAACAGGAGATTGGAGTTTAAAAGAGGATAGAGAAGTTCTTTATTCTAGAGAGATTGTGAGAGAGATTTTGTAATCTTTTATTCTTCATAATCTAGAGAAGGTATTTTTCTTCGCCAATTGAATTGTTTTGTGTGCTTTATTGTTTTCTTCCCAAAATTCTTCTTTGATAATTCCGCGATCAAAGGTGCTCGCACGACGACTCGTATTAAGTTGGTATCAGAGTGATCAGATCCTGTGAAGGGGAATCCTATGTATGGTCCTTACTCGATCGCAATACAAGAAGCTAGACGAGATTCTTGTTTCATTAAAAGAAGTCCAAAAATCAAGTAAGAAGAAGATGGCTAAAAACGACAATTCATTGAGGCTTGATGCGATGAAAAAACAGATCGAGACAATCAGTTCGACTCTCATGAAGCTCGTCGATCTCATACACGAAGGCGAAAAGAAAGGTGAAACTTCGGCGGGGCCCAAGAAGAAATCTATAGAATCCGATGGAGATAGTGAGAATTCAGATTCCGATGAGGAGGTCGAGGCCGTCAAGACTGTTCAGTAACAAGGGGATAATGGTTCTTACCAGAATCTAATGATTGATTTTAGAGTTGAGATTCTTGTTTATGATGGAAGTGTCGAGAGGCTTGATGATTGGATCGAGCGTATAAAGATCTATTTCACTCTTTATGGCTATTCGTCAAAGGAGAAGATTTTTTTTGCGACATTGAGCTTTTTAGGCACACGTTGACTTGGTGAAAATCCTACTGCAAACAGGAGAAGAAATCGGTATCGTGGAACAGGTTCAAGGAGCTACTTAGGATGCAGTTCTACCCGGTGGGATTTCTTGAAGAGCGTTGGTACAAGTGGTACGGTTTGCGCCAAAGATTTAACTAAACCGTTCAAGAATACACTACAGAGTTTCAGCAGCAAGCAATGGTCCTAAACATTGCGGCGGAGGAGTACTCTGTTTTGTGAAGTATATGGCGAGTTTGAACGATTACATTTGGAAGGAGATGAAGCTATTCACGGTTGAGTCGATTGCGGAGGTGAGCGTGAAGGCTATTGCCATTGAAGGCAAGCAGAAGAAGAGCAACGAGATGAAGGGAGATGCCAAGCAAGCTGG